CATTCATTAAGAATAAAAAAAAATGACAACTACATTGAATATACTTCATATTTGTCATTGTATGATTAGGCTTTATACCAGATTCCAACAAGATTTAAGTCCCAATACTTATCCCTCTGATAGAAAACTTTACACAAATAAAGGCCTCTAAAAGATGGAGACTAGGTAAAAGAAAGCTATCTGTTCCATTCATAAAGAAAAAGCAAGGAGAGCATTGGTGGGCACAATAATGTGTTCAAGGCATGAGGACAAGGGAAAAGTAGTGAAAGAAAGTGGAAAGATGACAGAAAGACAACTAGGGGAAAATGTTGAAGAAGAGTTCATTTCAAGGAGGAAACAGTTGGCACTATGTTAATAAAAGATGAATTTAGAAAGTCTATTGAATTTAAATGTTAATAATGACTCTGAAAACAATTTAAACACAAAAGATGGGGCAGAAGCCAGAATGTAACATGAATGAAACCAGAAACACAGAATCTCTCAAAATCATAAAAAATATCAGGCTTATATGTGTGTGATAGAGACTAGCAGAATTCCCATAACAAAGGTTCTTAAATACTCTTTCAAAGCTGGAATTTATCTCATTCTTTGTTTGCTGCTGTTGTTTTAAAACTTTTACTGCAATGCAACAACGAAATAAACAGTAATCAGATACCTATTAATTTTCCCCCCAACCAAAAAGCTGTAAACAGGAAAATAACTCTGCCTAATACTTAACAGCTTCTCAAGTTAGGTTAGAAGGGTCTCACACTCAAGGATCAAGATATTTTCAAATAGCAATAATTATTTTCATTTTAAGAAAAGGTTCCCTTTCTTTGCCCCCACTCTGCCATCCTTGCAAATATTTAACATGAAAGAATGGGTTTCCTTACACATTAATTTTATACTTATTTGAAGCAGAAAAAAACCCATCAATAATTTGGCTTTTCTGTTTATACATTGCTCCAAAATTATTTTCCAATTTCATAAAGCCATTATCCAGTGTTACCATGAAATAGACTGTAGATTATAGATAGCAAAGATTCTTTTCAAAACAAATGTTAAAGAAATACAAAGCAGAGTATTACACTAAATTTCTAGCTTTGTTGTTGTTGTTGTTATGATGTACAAATTTCTAGGTTTAGTACACTAAAAAGAATGAAACCTAGGAAAAATTATCTACTGTTTTATAGAAGAAATAAAGACCTGCAAAAGCTGATTTTTGGCTGTTCTAATATTTTACACACTGTGGATTTGCACCATCTGCTAATTTAAGGACACATGCACAGTATTTATCCCTGCCCTATATCCTATACCCTCCCTCCCCGCCATCAAGCATTTACTACCTTATACCATGTATTGTGAATAGGAGCCCAAATCCTCCCAGACAATCCAGTGAACAAAGCTAGTATAATGCACTGGTGTCAAGTGTGAGATTAAAAAAAAATTCCCTTTCAATCTTTATCAAAGTTCTGCTATCGAGGAAAACAGGCAGCCAAATTATCATTCTTCTCACAAGCAAAATATGCTTGTATCACAAGTCCTTCAGGAAATCCTACTGCCTTTAACCTTTCTATAGCTTCTTTTTCCTGAGGTGTTACTTCAATGAAGTTCATATGACCACTTCCAGCTTCTGCAATTCCAATGCTGCCGCCTCAATCCCCTCCTCCTTGACCACCGGCTTCTTGAACTGGTTCATTTACCATCTGAATAAAATGCCCCTGGTGTTGGCTAATTTGCTGTAGTAACTGAGGATTCTCTTGCCCTATCTTTTGTAGCAATGTTGGAAGCAGGGAAGGATTCTGTTGAATAATGTCTCATCTCAACAGATGAGACACTGAGGTGGATTCCATAAAAATTCAAGGGGATGTCCTGTGGAACAAATTTCTGTAGTTGTGGCCGCTGCAGTTGTAGCCACTGCTAAAGATGGAGGTGCTCCCATACTAACTGCTTGAGGGGGATTGACCACAGTTTTAACTTTATCTCCAGGGATTTCCATCAAAAGATATTCCACTGCTCTGTCAGGGTTGTTGAAACTGGTTCTTAGGGATGCAATTATTTGCTCTCATTCATAGCCCACTGACACGATCTCAGTCACCATATTCTCATAGGACTGACCTGTCACTTTTTTAAAAAATAGGGGGAGGGGACAGTGGGGGAGGAAAACAGGAAACAGAAAATAAAATAAAAGAAAAAAAAAAAAGAATCCCCATATGTGTCTGGGTTTTTTATGTCTGAAGTTTCTATAACCCTGCTCTGTAGAAAGTGTGGCGCAAGGCCTCAAACGGTTTCAAAATTGTTCTTGCAAAGCACTGTGAATGCACAAGGCCACTCCAGACCTGAGCACACAGAATTTACCTCCTTCTTGTGACTCAACTTCATCATGCAACAGATGGAGCTACAAGATGAACAGTAACCCCAGGAAGATACAAAAAAGCATCACATGGCCAACAAATTCAGCTCAGAGACCAGAAGGAAAAGATGAATGGAAGTGGTGAACACATAGAGAAAGGAGATGTATGCTCTTACATTCCAGGGATGATTACACCCATCAAAAAAGGACTAACGGAAGGGAGAAGTACAGGAATTAAGTAGTATTAGAAAACAACTGGTTGAATAAAAACAAATTCACTATGTAAAGTTCCACTCAAATAACTGTTAAAAAAAAAATACAAAATGTATATGAACTGGTGAATAAAAAACCAATTTGGTCTAAAAAACTTTCAGCCAAATCACAAAAATTATTTTTAAAACAGATGAAAAGAACATTGGAAAGAAGGAGAAATACAGTGGGAAAAAAAATGGAGACAGGATGAAAGGAGACTTCTTTTAAAAAAATAAGTCTTAAGAGGCCTGTGTAATGACTGGCACGGGGGTGACGCAGGCCGCTGCTCACTGCCGAAGCACTGCTGGCCTCAGCTCACCAGCCGCTCCACGGGAGAGACAGGCAGCCTGCATCTGCAGCAGCGACGTTCAGGAACCTTAGTGCGCAGTTCTATCTGTCCTTAGAGCTAACATCCACTTAATAGCAGCACCCTTGGTGGAGAGGCATAAGGAAGAAATGGGTAACTTACTTTCAGAATTTTTTCTTCTGATTAAAAAAACCAAACCAAATTTTTGGGAGGGGGAATCATCCAATTAAATATCCAATTGACTCTTCCAACATAATATAAGATTAACTACCTATCGCTACTTATATCTCCCATGTATATGATGTGAAATTTCAGGAAATCTTTATGAAAGACAAAAACCCAGAACTGGTTTCCTTCACAACACAAAAGCAATATAAACCACATTTCAAGCTCACCATCATTGGCTTGAAAACATTCAACTCAAAGTGTCCATTGCTGCCTCCAACGGTGACGGCAACGTGGTTCCCCATGACCTGCGCGGCCACCATGGTCATTGCTTCACACTGCGTGGGATTCACCTTTCCTTCAAGAAAACCACAGTGAAAGATTCCGGGTCAAACATGCCAAAACTCCAGCTAGCAAGAAAGGGCCATCTTAGGTCAAGTGGCAAAAAAATAAATCCTATTTCATAAATAAATAAATAAAATAAAACAGAAACCTAACCATCAATGTCACCTTAATGAAACAAAACAGAAAGCAGAAAACATCACAGTCTGAGGACATAGTACCATTCACCATCCCTGGGGAGGCTTCCCAGAGGAAGCTGAACTACCCTACTCCACACGTCTCCAGAACCACACCACTGTGACACTCCTGACATGCTCCAGTCTGAAACTATGCCCCAGATGTCCTCTAAACAAGTCAGATACACTGAAAAAGTATTTGTGTGCCCATTTTTTATTTTTAGAAATCACCTGAGATTTGTTACCCATTAAATCCTGTCACTTTTTAACATGAATTTAGATCTCTTTTCATTACACATACATATAGATTTACAAGAATTTCTATCAAGCTGTTCTTTTCTGACTACTAAAAATCTTTGTTGCCAGTGTTATGACTCTTGATTCATTCATCCAGAGTACCGCCATCTCAACTTTCTCATTTGCCATATTCTCTGTACCTTCACCACGAGTCACCAGTTAAATGTTGAAGGGAAAAAACACTTTCGTTTACACCAAAGCATTCTTCCAGGCTCAAGTCAACTCATTAGTTATTTAAATGTCATTGCTTGTCCAGCTGTGTCCATTATATAGTACCATTCACACTTCTCCACTGAATTCAGTGACTATCATAGAGTTCTGTCAAATGACTTGGTGAAACTGAAATACAGAGTGTGGGTGTCTACCTTACCTACCAGGACCATAACCCAATATAAAAAAAAAATTAAATAAGAGGCACTTGGTAAGAGACAGAATCATTGCATATTTTCCAGTGTGGGAATCGCAGCACACGCTATTAATTCAGATTCTCCTTTCTTATCTCAGTGGGTGATATTCTTAGGATTAATAGGCTCCACAGACACATTCTGAAACAAGTTGCTCTGTGCACCTCCATCCATCATTGTATTATGTAAAAGGAGCTATCCATGGATAAGAATGTTTGACACCCAGCAGGCTCCCCTAGTGATGATACCTGGCATGATGCTGCTTCCTGGTTCATTTTCAGGCAAAATCAGTTCTCCCAGCCCTGATCGGGGACCAGAACCCAAAAAACGGATATCATTTGCTATCTTCATCAGACTGCAGGCAGCGGTGTTCATGGCTCCACTGAGTTCAACCAAGGCATCATGAGCAGCCAGAGCTTCAAATTTATTTGGTGCTGTGACAAAAGGTAAGCCTGAAGAATGCAGAAAGGGGGAGAAATATACGGGTAAACAAACAACTCTTTTGTGTGTGTGTGTATTCACACAGAAACACATAAATAGTCACTCCATGGGAGAAAGAGGAGCCATCTCCTCTTGTGCAGATGTGCAACCTCAAAACCTGGATGGATGAGTCTACTTGAGTTGGAATCTACTCAATAACAGAGCGTCAGTGTGAGTGATACATACACATACACACACACACACACACACACACACACACACACTGCTGTCAGTCAGTTCTGACTGATAGTAATGACAGTGACCCTTCATCAGGGATTAGATATTAGAAACAGGATGTATTTCTAATATCCAGAAGGGAACAGTCTATTACAGCATATGAAAACAACAACAAAAACCTTACTTAAAAGTATACTGAACTTTTCCTCCTGCACACCACAGCCCTCAATTTAAAGGAACAGATGATGACTTTGAGGAAAGACTTGGAAAATTTATCTCCAGGATGGATTCTCCCAATGACACAATGATTTCTAATTTAGCTACTACTGGGGAAATTGAGAATCAAAGTGAGAACTCAGAATCTTCTGGTTCTGGTAGCAGCTTATTTAAAACTCAGTACGATCCTTCTTTACCTAAGGAGAGGCAAGAAAAGCCTCTGAGGAAATTTGTTTGTTTACCTAAAATGTTTAGACTATAGATTCATCAGGCAATTCTGATTGAGAACCCATACCATTGACATTAAAAGCTGTGTTTGAAAGATTTAAGCAAAGGAAATGTAAAAAAAAAGAAAAAGAAAAACAAGCCAATAGGAAGACCCAAGAGAAGACCCAAAGGGAGCACGAACAGGAGCACTAAGCATTTACAAACAGATAAAAACCAGTTTTAAGACAGAGGACCTGATTTCTCATTTTTAGACTCCGAGAACGGAAAAAACCCAATCCCTTGGAAAAAAATTTAACTTTTGATCAGGTTGTTGCTAGAGGATTTTTCATGTACGCTGAAAAACTGAACTAGGAACACCACCTCAAGTAATCTTTGAAGCAGATGAATGTTGGTGAAGATTTAGTCGTGTCAGTAAGTACTTAGATGATGATGGATCCATATCACCTATTGAAGAGTCAGTGATCGAGGATGAGGACAGGACTAAAGTTAAACACAGTGATAAATGTGATATTAAATTGGTGGAGAATGACTTCATATTAAGTTGTGACTTTACAAAGAATAGGAAAATAAATTTATTAGATGGTGAAAATGCTACGTCATGTAGAAAGAAATTTAAAGGCAAAAAACCTGGGCAAAAAACCCAGAATTTATTTGATGACCATAATATCAGACATGGGTTTGTATGCACCTTTCTTCATATATACTCAATCTATCATATTAGAGAAGAGTACGTGGTATCAGAATAATCATCAACCTGCATTATGTAAGTAACACAAACCTTGCTCACTGAAAGTAAGGAGGACTTGAAACTCTTAGTGCAAAAGATCAAAGACTGCAGCCTTTACCATCAAGGATATCTTAGTATCAAGAAAATAAAAAACTTCACCATCAGGCCAGTAGGCAATATGATAGATGAAAAAATACCGAAGCTGTCAATGATTGCATATTATTTGGCTTTACAATAAACATTCTACATACCAAAAGTCAAGAAATCAACGTGCGGCCCTGTGAGCGAGAAGCAAAGACCTTGTTGGCTGAGCCTCATTTCATTCTCAGCTTGTATGCTTTCATGAAGAAGGGAGCCATGTTAAAGAGGCCCAGGTAACAAGAAACTACCAGTGAAAGACAGAAACCCTCAGTGAATTCAGCCACCATCTACATAAACTTGGAAACATTAGTTCCTAGGGTTAATACTCCACCCTCAATCAGTATTTTCACTGCAGCCCATGAGAGACCCCTGAAGCAGAAGATCCAGAGGAGGTATGGACAAATCTCTGGCCTGCAGAAAAATGGATAATAAATGTGGTTTTTTTGTTTTTCATTTTGTTAAAAAAACCCAAACCAACAGTCCAGTTGAGCTGCATTTGGAAAGTCTGTTGTGAAAGACTTCTCAAAGCACTCAAGAGCAGTGATGTCAGCCTAAAGACCAAGATGTGCCTGATCCAAGCTATACAGTCTGCTCAGTTGCTTGCTATGCATCTGAAAGTTGGACAGTGACTTCAGGATGGTAGAAAATATGTCTTTTGAGTTGCGGTATTAGCACCAAGAGAACAAATGTGTTTTAGAAAAAGAGCTCTTTGAAGATGTTGGCATGTCCTAATCCTGTAGATCTGTACTTTTCTGCAGAATTAACAGGATATCAACTCATTCACCATACAGGGTCACTGAAATAAAGAAGCAGAAAATATTGGCATCCTAAAATGACCCCAAAGTAAGTGACTAACATGGAGAAATAATAGGAGAGAAAGAACAAGCAAATCAGCATGCAGCCTGATGGAAACAAAATGTGACAGCTCTTGTGTCCAGTGGCAGTACTGCACAGAAGCATGTGATGACCTCCAGAAATCTACTTTAGTATTGACAGAACAATAGTGGAACAAGGGAGGAATCTTTGTAAACAAGCTTTGGAGGAACTGTGGTGATATTGATAGACAATGGAAATTGAAAGACAAAGCAACATTCATTAAATAAAAATTTATTAACATTAAATAATATTGCTTAATAAATTCTTTTTACACTGGGGGGGAAGTAAACTGAAGGGTCAAGTTTTGTCTACCCAGTTTTAAGACGTCTTGAAGGAGTTTTTGAAAAGACCTGGTGATTCTCCCATACATTAGAAAAGATAAATTCAATAAATATATTGAAAGGAAAACCAAAAACATCCTGGGAGGGGGAACCCCCACACCTCCTCAGTGCACATGCCTGGCTACTTAAGTAAGGATGAAAGGTAGGTAACATTTACTCTGACTTGCGCTGCAGTGCTTTCTTTGAATAACTAATTTTACCCATATTATTTTGCTCTATTCTTCCTTCTAGCTAGAGAACTGTAAGAACCCCTGAGAAAAAAGAAAGCCAAAGTCAGTAAGATGTTCTCAGCCTCTCCTGTAATAAACATTTTAAAGACCTGCAATCTAAGACTCTAGCCCTTCCCTGCTGAAATCTAATTTTTAGAATGCACTGTTAGGAAGCAATAACGCAAACTGCATAAATATCTCTATTTTAGACTTCTGGTAACATTCATATCTTAATAAAGATGAGTTATCAGGAGATGACAATTTGGGTCCATTAATATTCATTATTATCAATGATATACTATTTACTAAAGGAAAGACAATTTTATTATCTATTAGGCTCCGTCTAACATACTTTGGACATGTTGTGAGGAGAGACCGGTTCTTGGAGAGGGACATCATGCTTGGGAGGGTGGAGGGACAGCGCAGGAGAGGAAGGCCCTCTATGAGGTGGATTGATTCAGTGACTAGGATAATTGGGATGGGAGTGTCAGAGACAGTGCGATTGGCACAGGACAGAGCGGAGTTTAGGGCTGTTGTACATAGGGTCGCTATGAGTCGCAAGGGACTCGACGGCACATAACAACAACAACAACAACAACAACAACATTAAAGGTCAATAATTTAAAGAAATACCATAGTGACAGGCAAAAGAAAGTATTAATCAAATTAATGTTGTTGTTACGCATCCTCAAGTGGGAACCAACTCATAACTGACCCTCCAGTGGATTTTCTGAAAAGAGGCTGTAAATTGCACAGGAAGAGACTGCCTCCACAGATCAACTGGTGGATTCAAACTGTGTACCTTGGGTTGGCAGCATAACTCCTTAGCACAAAGCCAAAACATTTGTTTTAAAGATTGGCATTCAAAACAGTCATAAAGGGAAAATAATTGAATACTACCAGATTATAAACAAAGTTAGCAATGGCAGATTTTAATCCCAGGCTGAACTAATTCATAAATGACAAGTTAAAAATTATTGTCATGACAAGAGTCCAGAATGAAACCTGCATAGTGGAGTGGACTAGACTCAGTGGGGGTGAAAGAATTTTTTTTTTACTTGTCAAAAACAAAAGAGAACTAGGGAGGAGGGGTGGGCAGGGAGGAAAGTGTGAACGAATGGAAATAAAAGAAAAAAAAATCAATAAAATAAAAAAAACCCCCACAATTAAAAAATTTAAAAATATATAAATAAAGTCAACCCCAAGTGAACCTGAAGTAGATACAAATTACAAATGTTTGATGAGAAAGCATTATTTCTAACTTTAAAATTTAGAGTCATTCAAAATACCCAGAAAATGCAGAGCAAAGTGGTGGTGAATCATGTGGTCACTAACCTGTGATGGCAGCCACTTTGGCTGCAACCTTCTCTGCAAAGCCAATTCTTGTATTTAACCCAGTACCCACAGCAGTGCCTCCTGCTGCGAGCTCGTAGATCCTCGGCATGGCAGCTTTGATTCTCTTCATTGCATATTTCACTTGTTGAACATAACCACTAAATTCCTGGAGAAAAGCAAATTACAATGAGGATAATTCCCCTAATGGCTTACAAGTTAATACAACTGCATTAAACTGAAGTTGGAAAAGATAAATACAAACACAACTCAGAATACTAAATTATAATCCACCCAAGTGGTAATAACAACCATAAGTGGTATTTATACTATTCCAATTGCTAAGATGAGCAAAGAAGGATTAGGAAAAATAATTTATAACCTATACGACTGGACAATGTTACTGATGGTTTTAAGCACTTGTTTACAATCTTTTAACAAAAGAGAAAAAGAATGGCTTCCTAATTACTAAACTTTTGGTTCATTTGAAGCCCTGGCAGTGCACGCGTATGTGTGGGTTTCTAACTAAAAGCAGGTGTTTGAATCCACCAGCTGCTCTGCAGGAGAAGATGAGGGAGTTGGCTCCCAGGAAGACTAGCAGGGCAGCTCATTATTCACTAGGCCGCCAGAGCTCCCTACTAACATGGCAAGGGCTCTAATAATAATTATGCAAAGACATGTATGTAGGAACTGGCCTCAGCTGGGCAAGCCAGAATGTATGGCTATATACAATAATTCCCTCTGTAACTAAAAGCACTGAGAAACAATGATAAATTTTGTTTGGCACTTAGAATATCAAACTATTAGAAAATTTTTTCCAAATATGTAACTCTTTTCAGTTTGCCCTTATATAACAATTTTATATATGCTTGTTCAATTCACATGTGAATATACTTTAATTTGAAAAAAAAATTCAACAGACAATTTCAAGAAAAGTCATATAAATGCTTAGGTAAGACAAAATCAAACAGAACAATAGATGTTTTTTCTTATTATGAAGAAGGATTGTGACAGAGGCTGAGTCATGGTCTAAATGGGCTTCAGCACAATGGTTTCCAACATGACACACATACACACACACACAGAGACACACACACACGAAAAATGAGAAGCCAGGAGGATATTCAGAAGTTTCAGACTCTGTTCCTACTTAGAAATGAAACATGGTACTAAATAAGAAATAATGAAGCAGATATACAAAACAGTTAATCTCTTCACTGTCACTGAGCTAATCCCAAAGCACAGCAGCCCTCCACTGGGTTTCTGAGGATGTAAATCTTAAGAAGAGCAGAACGTTCATCTTTCTCCCATACAGCTGATGGTGGATTAGAACCATCAAAAGTGTGATCTTCTGGACTGCAGCACATCAAGCTGGCCATTTCTCCACCAACTTAGTCAGATCACCTGAATTTTGATTAATCTCATCTCATTTTCACTCCCTAATGAAATTAAGCTCAAGTATCAAACTTTCTTCACTGTGTGCCATCATCTGTACAAACAGAAATCTTTCAAAGCTACGTAAACTTTTTACGTCACCTCACTACAATTTTGGGAATTATAACTTGTTGTCAAAAGTACATGGTTCAAAGCCACCAGCTACTGTGTGGGAGAAGGATAGACAATCACCACCCATCTGATCAACTGCATCTGGAAACCTGCCAGAGGGTTAGCTATGGGTTGGTTCCAGCTTGATGGTAAACAACATTACAACACTTAGAATATCATACATGGTCTCTAAATATCCTGCTGTTGTTATGTGTTGTCGAGTCACCTGTGACTCACAGCGACCCTACGTACAACAGCTCTGAACCCTGCTCTATCCTGAGCCAACTATTGCCTCTGACACACATTATCTGTATTTCCCCAGTCACTGAATCAATCTATCTCACTGAGGATCTTCCCCTCTTGCACTGTCCCTCCACCCTCCCAAGCATGATGTCCTTCTCCAAAGGCTGGTCCCTCCTTGCAACATGCTCAAAGTATGTCAGATAGAGAGCTTCAGAATTCTTGCCTTTGAGAAGCAGCCCGGTTTCACCCTCTCCAGGACAAACCTGTTTGTTCTCCTAGCATTCTTACCTTCCTAATAAACATTAAGCTTACTAACACTCATCAATTTCCTTAAGGTACATAGGGTCATACGTACGTCACAGGCAATTCGATGGCACATAATAGCAATGACTGCTGATAAAAATTTTCATCAGCAGTCAAAAGTTCATTTATTAAGTTGGAGAGAATTCCTCTTTGGCTTGTAGTTTAAAACAATTTTAAAGAGTAAAAGCTGCTACAAATAATTACTCTAAATTCTTAAAGATCTGTGTAAGTTGCAGTAAAGCAGAAGAAACCATATGATACTGATGAAGATGATGACGACAGCTAACACACTAACACCAGGCAGGCATGGTTCTAAGTCCACATAAAATAGCTCACCGGCTTCTCAGAAGTATGCTGTAAGAAAGAAATTCCCTTCCTCATTGTTCAGCTTGGAACAGTGAAGCACAGAAAGCTGAAGTAATTTTACTAAAGCCACACATCTTGAACACAAGAGCTCAGACTCGTTTCTTGGCTCTTAACCAATATGCTCTTTACTCTCTGCTAACGAGTGCCAATAAAAACTGAGGACTGGTTATCATGGGACAATGACTATCACTGAACTGAATTATTTCTTGTAATGTGGCTTTTAAATCTAGTGTGAATTGGATGGCAGCACTGTGGCCACTGCAGCCCCAGTGTTGCAGTGGTCAAGCACCTGGCTGCTGGCTGCAGAGGTTTGTGGTTTGAACCCACCAGCTGCACCAGTCAGCTTCGGGGCAGTTAGTAAATGTCCTTGAGGGCCACAACAGGCAGCATCAAGGGTTTTTGGGGTTTGGTTTGTTGGTTAATTTTTTGGGGGGAGTGAGATTGGCACTGTGAACATTTATACTTAGACCTAATAAAATATTCCAGCCACAACCCTCTGTACCTGTCCAAGAGTAAGTGGAACAGCGTCCTGCGTGTGAGTTCGCCCAATTTTGATGACCTGGGCAAACTCCTTGGATTTTGCATTGAGGGCATCATGAAGCTTCTGCAGTCCTGGTATCAGTACTTCATGAACCTCCACTGCAGCGGCAATGTGCATCGCAGTAGGAAAAGTATCGTTTGAGCTCTGTTCAGAAAGATTAGAGATGTACAATAAAAAACAACCAAAACCAAATGTGTGCTCCAATGAGAAAATCACTGATAGACTACTTTCAATTCAGTCTATTTATAACTCAATTACATACATAGATGGCAAGTCATACGTCATGTAGGATCGAATAAAAGGCAACCTGATTTCTTATATGGGGCTCACTAAGGTTGTATGATACTATATATCACGTATACTTTGTGTGTTTCTATATATTTTAACAGCCTACTAATAAATGAGTTAAACATAAAGAAACAACTGCATTTGAAGACAGTAATAAAAAAATACAGTACAAACAATATTTCATAAACTTTTCATTTATTAAATTTGGAAAAAATCTGAGGGAGTGCTTCACTTTAAAAACAAGAGAGCTGTGCTCACAAAGAGATTCTTGACTTACCAATGTATGAAGAACTGAGAGAACAGGGACTCAAACAGGTTAAATTAAGCTCAGCGCTCTATCCTCAATGGTTGTCCCTAAACTAAATACTTTCAAACTACAATGCAAAATATCAAACTTATAAAAGTAAGGTAAATGGTACAATGGACACCTAAATTCAGTAATTATCAACAGATAGCCAATCTTTTTTCATCTAGTAACAACATCCTACTCCTCTGCCCTATCATTATTAGTCTGATACAAAGTCTAAACTTGAATATAGTGTACAAACATCAGACACTCTAAGACACACTACAGAAGATCTGACCACCTCTGACCACTCCACTGAAAGCTCTCAAAGTCACAAAGATCAAGATCAGGATGCTGTCAGAGACTGGAAAAGTCTAAGGGGACATGACAATTGAATGAAAAGTGAAATTATTCTGAAGGGGAAAATAAAGACACCAATAGAAAATCTAATAAAGTCTATAATTTTGTTGACTACCAAACTGATACTAGTCTCTTAGTTTCAGTGAAAGTATTATTAGTATTGTTGTTAAGTCAGTTACCAACTCATAGTGAACCTATGCAAAGAAGAATGAAACCCTAACAGATACTGCTGTTGTTAAGTATTATGGAGTTGTGGTGTTGAGTATTATGGAACTGACTCATAGCTGACACAACAGCAGGGTCACTGATGCTGTAAACTGCATAGGACAAGACTGTCCATCTTTCTCCAGAGGGCAAGTTAGTGGACTTGAATAATGGACCTTTGTGTTGGCAGTACAACTCTTTACCACTAAGCCACCAACACTCCCTAACACATGCTGTATTACCTCAAAATCCCTGCTGTGTTTGGGGTCAAGGAATTGATCCATCTCACTACTGGTTTTGCCGACTCTCTAATAAGCATGACATCTTTTTCAGGAACTGGTTCCTCCTGACAATATGCTGAAAGTCTATGAGGCTGTGTCTCATCCTCATCTCTAAGGAACATTCTTAAAGCACTTCCTAGACAGATGTGTATATTCTGTTGGCAGTCAATGGGATAGTCAATATTTTTTTGCTAACACCACAACCCAAAGGCATCAATTCTTTCTCAGGCTTCCTAACTCACTGGTCAACTTTCACACACACACACGTTGTTATTGTCATAAGCTCCAAATCTGGCTCTGACTCATAGCAAGCCCTATGCACATGAAAACAAACTCTTGTCAGATCCTATGTGGTTCTCACAATCTTTGCTGTGCTATTAATATTAAGCCACAGCTGTAAGTTAATACATCTAATTACGGGTATTTCTCTCTTTGGGTATTTCTCTCTCCCTTTTTCTCTCTACTTTTCCAAGCATGATGTCTTGACTGTATGTTTACTCAATTTCATATGGAAGTTAGTAGAAATCCTAAATTTACTCTTCATTAGTTTTAGTGCTTTGTGTGTATAGCTGAATAATAGTTGTATTAACAGGGCTTCCTTGTACATATATAGATACTATTCTATCACTGACAATACTGTTCTTCAGGAAAGATCCCAAAATATTCCTTTTGAGAATGAGTGTCACAACATTCCTCTTCAACTTGTTACTCCTGACACAGTAGATCATATGATTATCTGATTCAAAATAGCCAATACCAGTCCTTTCAGTGCACTAATAATGCCTTTATGCTTTGCATTTTATTTTTGACAACTTTCAATTTTCCTAGTCACACTTTTGTAAATGCCATGTTGCAACTATTAACAGAAGTCTGCAGTTGTTTCTTCTCATTTTAAATCTTACTACATGAGTAAATGAAGGTCTCTGATAGTTGAAACCTTTACTCTACTAATATCATCAAGGTAGCATCTACTTTGAAGAGGTTGGACGTAGCCATATTTCAATGCCTTCATTTCTCAGAACTTCATCTTGTGGCACTCTATCTGACAATGCTCTTCTGCTACACACAGGCTTTTCAACGGTCCATTTTTCCAAATGTGTATGGTCAGTCCTGCTTCCTGTTGTTACATGCAGTCAAGTAACCTGCAACTCACAGTGACCCTATGTACAACAGCTCTGAAGCCTGCCCATATCTTGAGCCAGTCTGACTCTGACACACCCACTTTCATTGCCCCAGTCACTGTCCATTTCATCCAAGTTCTTCCTCTCCTGCGCTCTCCCTCCACCTTTCTGAGCATGATATCCTTCTCCAAGCATTGGTCCCTTCTGGCCACATGCCAAAAAGGACATAACGGAGCTTCAAAATCCTAGCCTCCAAGGAGGAACTTGGTTTCACCCTCTTTAAGACAGATCTATTTGTTTTCTTCGTGGTCCAGTGTATGTTCAAGACTTTTCTCCAGCACCAATATTCAAAGGCATCAATTCTTCTTCTATCATCCATAGTCATTATCCTGCTCTCTGATACATAGCAAGTAACTGTGAAGACTACAGCCTGGATTGGGCACACCTTAGTTTCTAGACTGACATTGTTGCCTCTCAGTACTCTGGAGAGGTCCCTGACAGCAGATTTACCTAATGCAATTCAGCTTTTGATATCCTGACTGTTGGTGTCAAGAGTACTGATTGTGGAGCCAAACAAGCTATAAATATTAATAACCTCAATCTTTTCTCCATCCATCATGGTGTTGCCAATTGGCCCAGTGGTGAGAATGTTCCTGATGTTGAGCTTCAATCCATATTGAAGATTATAGTCCTTTACCTTCAGCAGCAAGCGCATTAGGTCCTCCTCAGTTTCAGCATGCAAGGCTGTGTCATCTGCATAACGTAGGTTGTTTATGAGTATCCCTCCAATCCTGATACCACATTCCTCCTCATAAAGCCCAGCCTTTTCTGCATATAGATTTGAAAGGTATTGAGACAGGATGCACCCCTGAAGCACACCCTTCCTGATTCTGAATCATGTAGTTTTCCCCTGCTCTTTTCTAGGCTGCCTTAATCTGGATGCTCCACAGAAACCTGTCAACCATAGGTGACTACTGGCATCTGAAATACCAATGGCATAACTTCCAGCATCATAGCAATAGACAAATCATGGAAATACAACAGATTGACAAATGAGTGGTGAACATGCATATGAGGCAATTAAAAATACCATAGCTTTAGTCAGGTGCACCTTAGCCCTCAAAGTGACATCCTTGCTCCTTCAGCTTAAAGAGGTTCTTTGTAGCAGATATGATTTGTTAACTGCTCTTTCATGGACAGCACAAAGTGTAGAAATACTTGAAAATGTTAATCTTTTCTCTCTTTTATCACATTGCTTATTTTGTCCAATTAAGATTTTGTTTTCTTTACAATGAGACATAAACTTATACGAAAGGGTATATATAGCCTTTGATTTTCATCAGTTTTAAGTCTTCATTTTCAGTAAACAAGGTTGTGACAACCACAAATCACGGGCTGTTAATGAGTCCTCCTCCAATTGTGATTCCATTTTTCTTCATATATGCTCAACAGACAAACTGCATAGGTAGGGTAAATAGATAAAACACTGGCACACATCTCTCTTGATTTTAATGAATACAGTACTCCCTTTTAATGTTCTTGGCCTATGTACAAGTTCTATAAAAATGCAATTAAGCATTCTGAAATTTCCACTCTTTAAAATGTTATCACTAATTTGCTACAATCTATACAGTCCATAAAAGAGAAGTAAACATCTTTCTGCTATTCTTTGCTTTCAGCCAAGGTACATCTCACACCAGGAAGAATAACTCTTACATCCTATGTTCTTCTGAATTCCAGAGACATTAGCATTAAAGGAAGCTGGTTTAAGGAAATAAGGAAACTCTTTGACTTATTTTTAGAATTCTTTTATAAAGCTGAAGTTACTTTTAAGTAAAGAATCTTGAAATTATATCAATTCAAGCATCTTCTTAGGATAGCTCAGACACAGAATTAATATTCCTAGATGAAATAAGAACTTTGAAGTCTTTTTCGTCAAAAGCTAGTATCAGTTTTATGAGAAAAATTTCAGGTGTTCTTTAAGCAATCATATACTGACCTGGCTTTTATTAACGTGATCATTAGGATGCACAGGTTTCTTGCTGCCAAGTTCACCTCCTAACATTTCAATTGCTCTATTGCTAATAACTTCATTCACATTCATATTCGTCTGGGTTCCTGACCCAGTTTGCCATACCACCAGAGGAAAATGATCATTTAATTTACCTTCAGCTACCTAGAAGAAAAACAAACAACTTAATGATAGTTTTAAAACTAACACTATTCATTTAAATTAACATGATTAAATAAACATAATTTATATTTTTTCCCATATAATAAATTACTTGCTTCCATTGTTTAAATGTCATTGTTCAGCAAATGTTGGATTCAGGTATGTTAAAATCACTGCTACTTTAAAAAGTGAAATTCTATGTACTCTGCATGGTAGGGCTCTGGGTATATGCTCTGTAGCATGTGACACTGCTAACCCAAAGGTGGAGTGTCTCTACCAGTTCAAATTCACCATTTCTCAGGAGAAAATCAGGCAGTCTACTCCCTTGAAGATTAATAGCCTCAAAAACCTGATGGCAGGAAGTTTTCTGAATGGTAATTTCACCAATGGTTTCTTTTTGCAAAAGCCATTTCTTGTCTAACAGTATTCAGACAAGGTCATTTGCTAAGTTCAGGCAAGTGTTAGGTCTTTGGATAAACTCTCCACCAGATGCCAGATGTTCCAATTAAGAGTCAGTATGATAATATACTTAAATCAAAAACTCTTTGCCACTGAGTTGGAACCAAGTCATAGCCAAGCGTCCAGCAGGGGTTTTGAGGCTGTAAATCACACAGGAAGGACTGCCCTGTCTTTCTTCCAAAGTGCTGCTGGTTAGTTAGCAGCACAACTCTCTCCAGACTGCACCACTAGGAATCCATGAGAATGTACTGTTTGTTGTTGTAAGTGCTATCAAGAGACTGAAACCCCACTGCAACACAATTTGAAAATGTAAACGTACTAATAGCTACTTCATCTCCCTCACATCCAAAGAGTAGAAAGTGCCAGCCACAGGAAATCAACATCACCCATATCTAGAGTTTGGATGCTTAACTTCATCTTCCAAAATCAAATCATGAGCTTAAGAAAAACAAACAAAAACCCCAGTGGACTTCGGGGGAGGGATTGTATAACAATGAAAGAATTTTTCTTTTACTTTTCAGAGAAGAGTGAATTTGGGGGGAGGGGCAGGCAGGGAGAAAAGTGCAACAATGAATGAATGGCAATCCAAAGTCTCTGTAAACTTTCATTAAAATTAATTTAAAAAGTCAGGATCCAGATATTAAATTAAACTGGTTCAATTTAAAATAGAATTCCCTTCTATAATTTTACAAAAAAATTAGAGCATTATTTACCATTTTTACACTCATTTCCAATTGCTTTCTTAAGATAATGTTACTAGTGGATTAAAGGAATTAGATTCTCAATGCCTATTATGAAATAACACGCTAACTGTAGAATAAGAAATCACATCTATACATTCGGATGGCATCTTTTAAAGAAATTATTTAAAACATTGCAGTTTAAAATGATCACCTGGAAATTTCATCACAGTAGAATATTTTAAGCATCATTATTAACATCTTTACCAAACAGCACTGCCACTGTAACACAATAGTCATTCAACTCAAGAATTCACCATGCCTTTCTCCCCGAACACATTATCATCACCCGGAGGGTAGCATGGTCTGATGCTATTAAGTAAACACACTTGTTTCACTTCCCACCTCATCTGCGGCCTTCATTATTGCATTAGCAAGCTTTGGATCAAGCCCATAACCTTGGTTCACTTCAGCGGCTGCTCGCTTTAAGATGCCAAAAGCTTTAATAACTGGAATCTGAAATTCATCATATAAAGAGGACAAAGTTGCAGTAATAGTTAAGCATGAATGTTTAGTATTAAGCCTTTATGAAAGTACTAAATATAAAAGAATAACTGACCTGTCAATATGACCATAAAAATGTTTAAGACATTAGAGAAATATTAAAAATCCTAAGTATCTTTTATTAGGTATATAAGAAACAAACACAAATCACCATCATTATGTACTTGTTTAATAAATAAAGAAAATGTAAACAAATTTCACACGTCATATTCATGAATACCTCTTTCTTACTCTCACACACATGCAGGAGGCACCATTCATCTTTTCTCATAAATATGCTGTAGAGTAGATCTGTTTATTTCATACTAATTATTCACTAACAAACAGCATTATTTTTCCTAACTGGATTCCATGCTGTATTATGAATAATTTTCCTTCTTTTCAGAAAATAAAATCAGTAACAATGATCACCAATTTGAGAAAACCAGTTGCTAAATATGCTATCAATTCATCCCAAAGCAAAAAATCCACAACAGTCTAATTAGTTACTAAAGTTTTGACACTCAAGTCCTTGGAAATTTCTAATATATTTTCTAAACCCCAGGTTTCTACCAGCTTAAAACTGACAACTTTAAAAATATTTAGGTACATTTCAAACTATTAGTTAGTAGACCTTTATACTCAGAATCCCAAACCCTCTCACTAAATTTGTAAGGAGAAAGAGAATACTTTTTAATGAGATTACAAGGAATGATGCCTGTCTTTGTGAGTTATGCGCTCTTGTCAAAATTACTGAAATAACACATGGAATAGCACCAAGTTTGAATGAAGTAAAAACAGACTGAAAAGAGTGAGGGACAAACATAAAACAGAAATTATAGCCCTTGGAGAGGACCAAAAATTTAAAGACAAAAGGAATAAGTTAAACTTGGACCAAAAAGAAAGAAAGAATAAAGGGACATAAAAAAAGAAGAAATGTAAATTAAATAGAAAAAAAAAATTCTTTTTAAGAAATTAAAATGAAAAGCTTTGTTTTATCCAAACAAAATGTACACAAATGGCATACAGAAATTGAAAACTTAAGGGGAGCTCTGGTGGCCTAGTGGTAAGGAGCTGCAACTACAATCCCAGAGGCGCACGGTTCGAATCCACCAGATGCTCTGCCAGTGAAGGAGGGACAATCTCCTCCTGTACCAGTCATATCTGATTTGACGGTACACACACACACACACACACAATACTAAATTTAAGCACTGACATAAAAAACTGTTTCTGAATTGTAAGATCTTACCAAAAGTTTTTACAATTCTAGCAAGAATGAAGAGAGAAAAAAATCACTTATTTTTAACAAATAAAAATACAAAATATCCTAAACTATCACCTCAAATAATAGCACATATTGTAGTTTAACGTCAAGTGGTAACCAACTCTTAGCTGACCCTCCAGTTGGTTTTCCTAGGCAGTTAACTGCATGGGAAGAAACAGCCCATGTTTTTTTTCCTAAGGAGCAGCTACTGGTTTTGAGCCGCGTGCCTCTGGGTTGGCAGGACTATTCCTTACCACTAAGCCACTGGAGCTCCCTAATAATAGCACAAAAAGTTCTAACTGACATCTGTGGTAAAGATTAAGAAATTTTACCTTAGGAGAAAGAAAAGACCAAAATGAATGTTAGAGGAGACACTGAATATTGTATTGGAGTGCTGAGAAGCCAAAGCACAGGGAAGAATTCAAGATATTAAAGAACTGAACATAAATTTCAAAAAGGAGTGTGGGAAGACAAAGTAAAATATTACAATGAAATGTGTAAGGAGCTGGAGTCAGAAAATCAAAAGGGCCAAACGCGCTCAGTATTTCTTAAGCTCAAGGAACTGAAGAACAAATTAAAACCTCGAGCTAAGGATGCTTTGGGCAGAATATTAAATGATCTAGGAAGTATTAAAAGAAGACGGAAAGAGTATAGTCACTGTACCAAAAATAATTGGAAGACACAGCAGAATTTCATGAAACAACATATGAGCAAGAGCCTATGGTGATGAAGGAAGAAGGAATTGGCAAAAAAATAAGGCCCCAGGAACTGATGGTATACCAACTGATGTATTTCAACAAACAGATGCTGCCCTAGACGTGCTCACCAAGTTGTGTCAAGAAATCTGGAGAACAACCACATGGCCAACTGACTGGAAGAGATCTGTATTTGTTCCCATTCCAAAAATAGGTGAACTACCAGTGTGGAAGTTTTTGAACAATATCATTGATATTACATGCAAGCAAGATTCTGCTGAAGATTATCCAAAAACAAATGTAACAGAACATCAACAGAGAACTGCCAGAAGTGCAGGCTGGGTTTAGAAGGGGTCATGTAGCTAATGTTAGATGGACTTGGCTGAAAGCAGGGAGTACCAGAGGAATGTCAATTTGTGTTTCGTTGAATATGCAAAAGCGTTTGACAGTGTGGATCACAACAAACTGTAGCTAACGCTGAGAAGAATGGGAATCCCAGAATACTCGATCGTTGCTAACGTGAAACCTATACTTGGACCAGGAGGCAATCGTCAGAACAGAGCAAGGAAACGTTGAAAATAAGAAAACAACAAAATTGGGAAGGGTATACGCCAGGCATGTGTCCTCTCTCCATACCTTTTCAACCTATATGCAGAACAGATTATCCGGGAGGCTGGGCTGTATGAGGAGAAATGTGGTATCAGAATTGGAGGAAGATTCATCAACAATTTGCATCATGCAGATGACACAACCCTGTTTGCTAAAACTGAGGAGGACCTGAAGCGCTTGCTGCAGAAGGTCAAAGACTGCAGCCTTCAATATGGATTGAGGCTCAATATCAAGAAAACAAAGATTCTCACCACTGGGCCAACTGGCAGCATCAGGGTGGATGGTGAAAAGACTGAGACTGTTAATAGTTTTAGTCTACATGGCTCCACAGTCAACACGCTTGGCACCAGCAGCCAAGAAATTAAAAGACGTATTATGATGGGAAAGTCTACCGTTAGCGACTGCTCCAAAGTTCTAAAGAGCAATGGTGTCACTCTGGAGACTAAGGTCCATCTGATACAGGCTGTGGCAATCACTTGCTATGCATCAGAGAGCTGGACAATGACTAGAGAGGAGAGGAGAATTGATGTCTCTAAGCTGTGGTGCTAGAGAAGAGTATAAATATACCATGGACTGCTAAAAAAATGAACAGCGTCATCCTGGAGAGGGTTAAACTGGGCTGCTCCTTAGAGGCAAGGATTCCAAGGCTTCGTCTGACATACTTTGGACATGTTACAAAGAGGGATCAGTCCTTGGAGAAGGACGTCATGCTTGGGAGGATGCAATGACAGCGCAGGAGAGGAAGACCCTGTATGATGAGGTGATTGATTCAGTGACTGGGATAATGGGGGTAGGTGTGTCAGAGACAGTGAGATTGGCACAGTAATCTTTGATCTATGCACGTAACTCAGAAAACTCATATTCACTGACATAGACAAAAAAAGTCACTGACACAGAGTTGGTTCTGCCTCACAGTAAACTTTCATGGGGTTTCTGAGGCTGGTCATTGTAACAGAGCTGCCATACATAAGGTCGCTGAGTCTCAGGTGACTTGATGGCACATAACAACAACAACAACCCCAAATAAATGACATTTTAATTCTAGAAAACATTTATTTCTATATTACAGGATTTATTTAAATAAAAGCCTTATTCATCCAAAATAAACCACAATCTCTGGAGAAGTCACTTACAGGCATCCGTTCTGTTGCACCTCCAATCTTGAAGTTCATGGTAGATCTCACTGTCTGAGCACCGTAATACTTATCATTTGGGACCTTTAGTTCTCCAAAGGTGTCATATTCTATTCGAAAGGAATTTTGGCTCGCCTAAAGACAAGGATTAGACATTGTTAACTATAAATGAAACTCAGTACACAGACAAAAGAAGAAAAATTCATTTAGATTCTCCATCTTCCTCTAAGTCTTCTCTTGGAAAGTTCTTCTTATATATATTTATTAATACAGATGTTAAAGAACTCTGTATACTAATACAATACTTAATGCATCTTTCCTAACTCATATGTTTATTATTGGTCAAGTTTTGACCAATGTATTGACATTAACGATTATTTTACTGAGAACTTAAAATGTGTACGTTGTTGTTGCTTTACCATTGAATTGGAATCAACCAACAGCTGACTCCCCAGCAGGTTTTCAGAAGCAAATCACGGAGGAGATTACCTGCCTTTCTCCCGCATAGCAACTGGTGGATTCAAACCAAAAGCCTTCAGATTGCAGAACAGATTTCTGGCACTAGGCCACCGGAGGTCCCTTTGATCTGTATCATTGTTGTTGTCGTTAAGTGCCATTGAGTTGTTGGCTACTCATAGCGACCTTATGAATTAAAGTCCTCCTCCACCCCTGCGTGACTTTCATGCTTCCTCCAGGTTCATAGGGTTTCTGGAGGCAAGCTATTTCGGAAGTGGATGCCACTCCTGCTTCCAACCTTGTTTCAACCGGGGAGTGTCACCAAACACTGTCCACCATGGGTAACCATTATCGAATCGGACACATCAGTGTCACAGTGTTCAACTTCACAGCGACCACAAGTTACCTCTTATAGCAAGTGGACACACCAGGGCTAAATGACCTAGAAGAATGTTTGCCCAACAACAATTAATCACAGGCCCCAGGACCACGGATTAGAGTCACCCATCTTTGGCTTGGTAGCATCATTTTCGGTCCACCAGGCCAACTGGTCTCTCTCTATGTTGTTAAGTGCCGTCGAGTCAGTTGGTGACTCATAGCGACCCTATGAACAGAAGTCCTCGACACCTGTGTGACTTTCATCCTTTCTCCAGGTTCATAGGGTTTCCGGAGGCAAGCTATTTAAGGAAGTGGATGCCACTCCTGCTTCTAAGATGTGTATATATACTATATATTTATCAAAAGCTTACTTGTGACCTATAAGCATCGTGTGTAACAAAGTATCATAGAAACAGTTCAGGCTTCAAAGTCAGACAGCCCATTACTTTGTGTCACCTTCAGCATGTCATTTCCTCTCATCTATAAATTTTTGGTCTTTTCAGGGTGATACAACCACTTTAAAAAAAATCTGAGGAAACCTACAGATGCTTTCTCCAGAAAAATGACTATAGTAATGTCTACACAAAATGTTACATATATGTCACAGTGGGTTACTAAAAACATCCTGAAGACAATCTTTCACCCAGAAAAGAACCAGTGGACCAAAGTCCAAGTGTTCGAAGAAATGTGTTACTTGTCTTACTTAAAAAAAAAAAGATGAGTGTCCAGTAAATATTTTATAGCATTGTAAAACACTAGAAATAAGGAATTTGCATTCTTTAAAAGTGAGAGTTCAGAAAGTTATCCAGAATTTTAAAACACTCATCTTGTAATATGGCATAAACATCATCAGATGATTCAAAGATAAACATTTTTATGCCTTCAATATAAAGATATCACCACTAAGGAAAAGGAGGACAAAACACAGGGAAAAAAACTGCAACAGTTACAGACACAAAGGTAAATACTATTCTATACTCAATCTGGCATTATCAATAATAAATATTAATCTACAAGTGGATACTCAGGTTTACAGAAAACATGAATAGGTATGCATATGTGACCATATAGGCTTGATCTTTGAAATTTCTATATACGGAGCTGCTGTACATAAGGTTGCTAGGGGTCGCAGGTGACTTGATGGCACATAACAACAACATACACATATGTGCTGTAAACAGATCTACGTATATAGTGGAGGTAAAGGGTGGCTGGGGAACAACAATGAAAACTAATTAGTCATAATTAAACATGGAGAGAATGAATTGCTGGGCCTGGAAACACTGCCTTGGAGGACATGAAAGTCAATTAAAAATGCTCTACACTCTAGTGACCAGCAATTGGAGTCTTAAAAACTTGGTCATTGATAAGGTGTAAAGGAAAAGTAAAGATTATCAATGACTTTCTTTCCACAGAGACTTCAGTCTGAGACCAGAGGGACCGGCTGCTGCCCAGCTACCACTGCCACCCACTCAGAAAGAGATCCAAGGAAAGAGACCCTTACGAAATGGGGAGAAATGTGCAACAAAACTCAAAATCATAAAGAAGGCCAAGCATACTTGTTTGGTAGACTGGCAGAACCCTGAGACTAAGGTTTTCATGATGTTCTGACACTTTATAATTCAAAACCTTAAACTTTAACTTGCCTATCACAACCCTGAGACTAAGGTTTTCATGATGTTCTGACACTTTATAATTCAAAACCTTAAACTTTAACTTGCCGATCACCCTTTAAGCCAAAGGCAGCTGGTAATTTTTATCTTAAATACACAAAAATATTTTGCATTGTGCTATTTGTTTTGAGGTCTCTAGGCAAACAACCTTGCTTGTTAAAATATACTTTGTTTAAATAACACTAGCAATGACGTCAGTGGTACTGAGAATATTATGTTCTCCCTCAACTTGCTGAGATAGCAAAAAAGCGTTACCTACAAAGAAGTAAAAACAAGACAAAAACCTCACTGCAGACAATTCAACTTCAATACTGGGCTTCTGAGGTTGGAAATCTTAACTGGAAAGGATTATTCATTTTATTCTCATGGAACAGATGGCAGATTCAAACTGCAGCCTTTTAGCAAGCAGCCCAACATTTAACATGCTCCACCACCTGGGCTCTTACAAAGACTAGAAACTGGCTTTTGTCAACTCATGAAAGCAGCCTCAAGTCCTTAAATTTACATCATCACTCTTTGTATTCAGAATCACTACATTTTCATTATGAAGCCACAATAATTTTGTCCCAAATAAGCACATACTGGAGAAAGAAGAGCAATCTCCTCCCAAGCGATCTATTGCTGGGTGCCATCGAGACGATGCACAATGACCCCATGAACAGTAGATCTGAACCCTATCCTATCCTGTGCCATTCTCACACTTCCTGACACATTAGAGCCCATTGCTGCAGTCACCGTGTCAACTACCTGGTCAAAGGTCTTCCTCTACCTTTCTGAGCATCTACAGCCTCTGAAACCCTGCTGGAGGGTGATCTGTGGGCTGGTTTCCACTCAGCAGTACACAACAACAACAACAATAGGCGCAGGTGGACAGGTACTGGGATGCTAACTAAAAGCTCAGTAATGAGAATCCACCGAGTGCTCAATGAAAAAAGATGGGCAGTCTCTGCCTGTAAAACACTCATATCCTTGCAAACGTGATGGAAGGCCACCATGAGTTGAAAGTGACTCAAAGTGGGTTTTTTTATTATTCTTTGTTATTGTTCTGTAAAATAACATGTATGATAAAGTTCAAGGAGTCCTGGTGAATAAAAAGTTACACATTAGATGAGAAGCAAAAGACTTATAGTTCTAGCCTCCCAGCCACTCCACAAGACAAAGCCGGGGCAGCCTGTTCCGAAGACTTACAGCCTCGGAACACTAAAGAGGGGTGCTATGAGTTGACGCCACAACAGTGCATCTGCTTAGGGGTTTATGGCATTTCCGGAAGGAAAAGAGGTCATGTCCCTCAGAGTCTTAGTCTACATTGGTTAAAAAGAGTGCTCAAGAGAAAAAAAAATCATTTCTCATACAAAAAGACTAACTCAAAAGTTAAAATATCCTTAAGTTTTCTGTTTCTAATAAACTTTATCTGGCCCTAAAATACAAGGCAGCCACCAAGTCTCAAAACATAGGCAAATACATAATAAATGGTTTACTGACAATAAGTTACAACAGAAATGCAAATATTGTCTCTGTCTAGACTTTATGACCATCTTGAAGATCATTAAGGCAATAAAAAGCGACTTTAAAAAAAGTAGCACTTACCTCCCTGTCATACTCTGGTAACAGTTTAACAGCTGGTCTGTCTCACTGCACTTTCTCTCTTCTGCACCACTTTTTACTTACAGTGGATGATTTCTCTGCTTATATTGAATAAACCACCAACTTATATTGAATATACCACCAACTGCCCAAAGAACAAACTGCCTAGAAGAAGTGCAGCCAGAATGGTCCTTGTAAAGGAAAGTGGTGATTTCCCCTCACATTTATTGGGTATGCTACTAGAAGGGGCCAGTATCTAGAAAAAGACATTACGCATGGTAAAGCAGAGGGGTCAGCAAAGGAGATGAAGACCCTCAAGGGGATTGATTGATGTAGTGACTGGAATGAGGTCAGGCACAGTAGAGATTGGGGATGTCACAAGACTGGGGAAGGTTGATGGAGTCGACTTTGCCACCTATTCACTGACATGGACAAAAAAATCCACTGATAGAGTTGGTTCTGCCTCACAGTAACCTTTCATGGAGTTTCTGATCGTCCATTTTTCTCCAAGGAAGTGGCTGGTAGAATTGAACTGCTGACTCTCACACTGTTTAGGAGCACAATGCCCTACAGACTATAGGCCACAGGAGCTCTTCAATGGTTGTCTTATTTACAGGTCCTGATGGGTGCACAACATTCACTAATGTTACCATAAAAATGGAGCATACAAATTTCTCAACACTAACAACAGGAAGAATTTGTAACAAAATCAGCACAGAGATTACGGTGCAGATCTTTCTCTTTCATTGCTGCTGAGTAGGGACTGACACAGAGCTGACCTTCCAGGAGGTTTCCAAAGATTCTAAATCACACTGGAGGAGATTCCCAACCTTTCTACCATGAAGCATCTGGTGGATTTCAACCACCAGTCATTGAGTCGCAGCACAACTCCTAGACCACCAGAGCTCCCTAATAGGGCAGATAGAGAAGGTTAGACTAAGATGTACTTAGAATTTATGGAGAGAAAAATCTATCCTAATTAAGTGATTAGATGCTAGCAAATGTTACAACCTGAAGAGCAAAGGCAAGCTCATTTTTA